AACAGTAGTAGTGCTAGTAATAATCACATAAAGTTTACCGAGTGTGAAGCGCAGAATACTAGGCTCAATAATAACACCCGAACCATTCAAGGGGTCCATGGGAATCCACGCGCCTCCCTGACCTGTGAACCGAGCAATCTGCCCAGTAGCCTTTTCGGTAACATATAGAATATTCGAGTGTTGATAAAAGGTGACTCCAGTATACTCCTTGGAAGGATCCGCCTGAGCTATTATACGATAAGCATTGTTATTCTTCGGGTAAAAAACACCAACGTCACTCTCGCTGATGCCAAACACGAACATATCGTTGCCCGAAGCCTCGATATTAGAAATAGTCTTCTCGGCAACAGGTAGCCATTGGTTGCATTGGAGTCTCCAAAGCATACGGATACCATCATCACTAGAGTAACCAGCTAGGTACCATGCACCATAGTCAGTGAAACTGAAGGACTCGGTAGTTATTTGGCCCGCCGGGAGGAGGTTAGGGAACGTCGTCCTATCAGCAACGCAGAAGTCACCCGAACACTGGCCAGATGAAGAGGATGTAGTAGTGCTAGTGACAGGACCACTAGTTGAGACAGTAGTAGTGCTAGTCACAGGACCACTAGTTGAAACAGTAGTAGTGCTAGTGACAGGACCACTAGTTGTCACAGTAGTAGTGCTAGTCGCAGGACCGTTAGTTGAAACCGTAGTAGTGCTAGTCACAGGACCACTAGTTGAGACAACAGTAGTAGTGCTAGTCACAGGACCACTAGTTGAAACAGTAGTAGTGCTAGTGACAGGACCACTAGTTGAGACAGTAGTAGTGCTAGTCACAGGACCACTAGTTGACGCAGTAGTAGTGCTAGTCACAGGACCACTAGTTGAGGCAGTAGTAGTGCTAGTCACAGGACCACTAGTTAAGGCAACAGTAGTAGTGCTAGTCACAGGACCACTAGTTGAGACCGTAGCAGTACTAGTCACAGCACCACTAAATGAAGCAGTAGTAGTGCTAGTCACAGGACCACTAGTTGAGACCGTAGTAGTACTAGTCACAGCACCACTAGTTGAGACCGTAGTAGTACTAGTCACAGCACCACTAAATAAAGCAGTAGTAGTGCTAGTCACAGGACCACTAGTTGAGGCAACAGTAGTGCTAGTCACAGGACCACTAGTTGAGGTAGTAGTAGTGCTAGTGACAGGACCACTAGTTGAGACAGTAGTAGTGCTAGTCACAGGACCACTAGTTGACGCAGTAGTAGTGCTAGTCGCAGGACCGTTAGTTGAAACCGTAGTAGTGCTAGTCACAGGACCACTAGTTGAAACAGTAGTAGTGCTAGTCACAGGACCACTAGTTGAGACAGTAGTAGTGCTAGTCACAGGACCACTAGTTGAAACCGTAGTAGTGCTAGTCACAGGACCACTAGTTGAGGCAACAATAGTAGTGCTAGTCACAGGACCACTAGTTGAAACAATAGTAGAGCTAGTCACAGGACCACTAGTTGAAACAGTATAGTGCTAGTCACAGGACCACTAGTTGGAACCGTAGTAGTGCTAGTCACAGGACCACTAGTTGAAACAGTATAGTGCTAGTCACAGGACCACTAGTTGGACACTAGTTGGAACCGTAGTAGTGCCCAGTAGCCTTTTCGGTAACATATAGAATATTTGAGTGTTGATAAAAGGTGACTCCAGTATACTCCTTGGAAGGATCCGCCTGAGCTATTATACGATAAGCATTGTTATTCTTCGGGTAAAAAACACCAACGTCACTCTCGCTGATGCCAAACACGAACATATCGTTGCCCGAAGCCTCGATATTAGAAATAGTCTTCTCGGCAACAGGTAGCCATTGGTTGCATTGGAGTCTCCAAAGCATACGGATACCATCATCACTAGAGTAACCAGCTAGGTACCATGCACCATAGTCAGTGAAACTGAAGGACTCGGTAGTTATTTGGCCCGCCGGGAGGAGGTTAGGGAACGTCGTCCTATCAGCAACGCAGAAGTCACCCGAACACTGGCCAGATGAAGAGGATGTAGTAGTGCTAGTGACAGGACCACTAGTTGAGACAGTAGTAGTGCTAGTCACAGGACCACTAGTTGAGACAGTAGACAGACGATAGTTAACGTAACTGAACAGTAAAGGGCATCTTGACATTGATAACT